TATGTTGATCTCATTTGTAACCGTGTAAATCTGGAGTAACGCCACTAAAATGGCTGCTGTTAGCCAGTGGCCTGAATGGAGCTCTACACTAGCGGCTAGATTTATATCAGTGTACTTCAGAGAAGAATGTTTCCCTAGATTAAACGTGGTGCAGCTAATAACTTAGGAGAATACAATTCTTATTTTTGCACGTCCTTTATTTCTGTTATGATATATATAAAAGCAGGGGAACAAAGAACCTTTTTTCAGCTTAGGTCGCATTGGGACCTCTTCCCCCTGTGCCCAGTTGCTTGCTATACATAACTTTGTAAAGAGCAAGGGGAAAGCAGGAGAACTTGTTAATTCCTTAAAATCACTAGACATAGCTGCTGGTATAGTGACTTGAAAGAAGTAAGTGGCACAGTCAAATATCAGCAATAATCCAATAGAAAAGACCTAGTGAGGTTGTAGCAGTATTGAGGGCAGGGCCCCGACAGGAAGGGGCAAAGGGGGCAATTTCCCAGGGACCCGCTGTTTCAAAAGGGCTCCCAGCCATCACTACCACAGGAGTGGTGGTGGCTAAAGCCCAGGGCTCTTTAAATCACCACCAGAACACCACACAGCGCACTCCGGGCAGCTCTGAGGACTGCGGCATGGTGCACTCCTGGCAGTCCTGAGTGCTGGCTTCCCCAGCCCCGCCCATTCCACTGAGGCCCCTCCCCTTTCAGAGCATAGAGTCCCCACCTTGCCCGGAGGCCCAGCAAGTCTGTCAGCCCCCCAATGGTGGGAATAGTGCTGACAGTGCCGCATTCCTTGTCGTTTTACATTGTGTATCTGTATCAATATACATAAAAAGAAAATAAACTGACTGTGGGTGCTCAGAATTTTATAACATAGCCTGGGTTTAATAATGATCTTTCCTTTGTGCCCTGGCGTTGCAAAGGATGCGACACATCTGTCCTCCAGAGACTGCCAACTGCCTTGAGTCATGTGCCCTCTTTTCCTGCCCACCCACCTGCCATGTTGCTAATTTATCAAACAAGTGCCCAGAGCTGTTTGGGAAGAACAGTCCGCTCCCATGGCCCCAATGCTGTTGGAGCGGAGCCCATGGGCAGGCTGATGAAGCGTTACTAGAAAGGAGCACCAGATAGGAAAATCTGGTGCAAAGGCAGATTCAGATGAACTCTTAGGGCAGAGTAATCAGCTTGTTCTGATACCACTCAGGTATCAAATGCTAGTGTAGTGCAAGGCTCTCAGTCCCTCAGACATCTCCACCATGAGACCCCTACCTCCTGCCCTGTCCCCCAACCTTCATAGACACCTCCTCCCCAAATGCCATGTATCAATGGACAGAAACTCACACTCCCAGCCCACAAACCCCATCGGACACAGCCACTGACTGCCTCTGCCTAAGCAGGGCCCTGGCGATTATACCCATGATTCTGGCCTGACACAGGTGTGAGGAGGATCAGGAGCCTTGTGTAGCTCCTGTGCAGAGTAGCTATGGCAACAAGAAGGGTACCCCATTGGCATAAATAATCCATCTCCCCAAGAGAAGGTCACTGTGTTGACAGAAGAAGTCTTCTCTACAAAGTTAGGTCAGCCTAGCTACAGCCCTCAGGGCTTTGAAAAAACAACACCCCACGTGTCATAAAGAAGTCGACTTCACCCCTTGCAGACAAAGGCAAGTCAATGGATTATCTATGCCAAGAGGAGAACCCTTCCAGTCATAGGGCAGATCTACACTGAAGCATTCCAGCGGACCACTTACAGCATTGAAACATAAAATGACTTCATCCCTTCGGAGCAACCATACTGGGTCAGACCAGAGGTTCTTCTACCCCAGTATACTATCTTCTGACAGTGACAGTAAGTACTTTGGAGGGAATGAACAGAAGAGGGCAATTATTGAGTGATCTGTCCCCGATCATCCACTCCCAGATTTAGAAAGTCAGAGGCTAGGGCCACCCAGAGCATAGGATCTGAACCCAAAGCATAGGGTCTGTACTTTTTTTTTAGCCCAGTTATAGTTTTGGCCTTTACAACATCCTCTGGCAATGAGTTCCACAAGTTGACTGTGTGTTGTGTGAAGAAGCCTAATTGAAAATCAACAGTTTAAATGGGATTTGAGCTCCCAAGTCACTTACAGCTAGATTGATTGGCACATAACAATAAGGAGGTGGAGCTGTGGAAAGCGATTTTAAAGGTACCCAAAGGTTAAGCAAATTTAGTGGTGTCCTATGCAGCTGTGTATTCTGCATATGCCAAAGGACAGCCCTGAGGTTAGGTGTTGTGATGTTGAAACTAAGTCCCCTTTGTGGAGCCAGCCTCTACTGGGAAATCCAAACTTGCCTGAGCAGGTCAGCTGTCTAACTCCCAGAGACTAGAGCAGACACTTTTGAAAACTTTACCCCAAATGTAAGAGTTTCACAATTCAAACCAAATTATCTTCACATTATTTCCTGCCATTTCTGCCCTGATACCATGAACTCTGATAGAATTAAATGGCGTGAAAGTTCTGAATGGTTTCTAGGAAGCTTGACATTTTCCTTCCATTTATCAGCCAAAATTTTCAAAGGTGGCCAATGGTTTGGGGTGTCTCAGTTTGTTTAGGGGCCCATCTTAAAACCTATGAAGTTTTTTAGAAGTACTGAGCACCTGCAGCTTCCAATGACATCAGCCAGAGTTGTACATGCTCAGCAGCTCTGAAAATCAGGCCCACAGTTGGAAACACAAAAGAAAAACTGTGACTACAGTTTCACTCCACTGTGAGTTCCTTTCACTGAGAGCAAACACCCACTGCATGCTGCCTTCAGTGAGAGTTGCCATCTCTGCTCTTCTTCTCTCCAAGATAAACAAAGAAGTTGCCACTAGGCCACTGAGAAAAGACTACGGCAGAATTCCAGGTTCTTGCTCTGCTAGTATGTGTAAGGAGGAGCCAGCTAAATCTTGCTACAATTGCTCCCAGTTGGAAGTGAAGAGGAGCTGATCTGACTACAACTTTCTCTTCCTCGGAATTAGCATAAATGTACATGGTAGAGGGATTTCAGAGGCATCCTGCAGTTCCAAGAGTACCCTTACAACTACAGAGCATGGAGTGGTCCTGCCACTGCTATACAAGGTGAAAAGGAGGAGAGACTTTGCAAGACAGGTGCCCTCTTGTAGTACAATTTCCTCATGGTAGAGCAAACATACACACACTTTACTACAGAAAGATGCAACATCCTAACTTTAGGAACTTGTCTACACTGGCACATTTTGTTGCCAAAAACTACCTTTTGGTGACAAAACAGTGAAAGCATTTATCCTGCAATGTGACTTTTGTTGGGAAAAACACCCAGTTTTTCAAAACAAAAAGTTACATGCCCACAGGAGACTTTTGTCTTTTCCCCTCCTTTTATTGTCAACAAAAAGCCAGTGTAGACTCTGCTGTTTGTTGTGTTGAGAGAACTGGCTTCTGCCAGTGTCCCACAATGCCTGCCCTGATGATTGTGCTCAGTGTTTTGTGATCTCTGCTGCCCTGCAGACATTCGCCCCCTTCTCTTTCAACACACTGGGAATATCTGAGTGAGCTGCTCCATTTGGGGAACAAAGAACAAATCATTGGAGTGCCGTGCACTAGGAACACAGCGCAGGCAGACTACTGCTGTACTGGGAGAGCTGGAGAGACTGCTGTGCTGCTTTGATATGCCTTAGTACGGAAGCTCACAGAGCTATGAGAGAAACCCAAGAAATGAAGGGATCACTTCTGTCTGTCAACAGGGGAGCTAGCAATGTGGCCATGAAATGTCAGCAATGGGAGCAGAAAAAAATGGTTTGACCGGTTTTCATATTTGGCGACTTTTTCATGTCAACACTTTTGTTGCGAAAACTTCTCAGTGTAGACATAGCCTCCATGGGAGTTTTCCCTGAGTAAAAGCTCTGAAGTGGGCCTCTGCATCTGCTGATCTTTCAGAAAAGAAACCTAACTAAGGGTACATCTACACTGCACAGCTATTTCAAAATAAGCTATTCTGGAATACTTATTCCGAAATAGCTTATTTCAAAATAGCACATCTACACTGCAGGGAAGCCTCAAAATTAGTCTGAGGCAGGCTTCCCTAATGTAGACGTACTATCTCAATTTAGAACCTCAGGAGGCACTGGGGAGGAATAACTTAGAATGTCCCTGGTGAGGGGCTATTTTGAAATAGCGGCAGTGGAGCATCTACAAATGCCTTATTTCAAAATAGCTATTTTGGAATAGGCATTATTCCTTGTGGAATGAGGTTTACAGCAGTCGGACTAAGCTGTCTGTTATGTTGAATTTATTTTGAAATAACGAAATGGCTGTGTAGACGCTCACATTGTTATTTCGAAATAAGGCTTGTTATCTCGAAATAATGGTACAGTGTAGACGCACCCTTAGTCTAGAATTGTTGGAAGGGAGAGGAAATTGTTCTAGCTCTGGGCAAATCTCAAAAGGATAGTATAATAAGAATGGATAATATAATAAGAATGGAACAAATAACTCTTATTTCACAATTTATCTGCTGCATTTAGCCACTCAAATAGATGTCCTGGTTTTGTCGTGTGAATTTAATTCAGGATGTGTGAATTTAATTCAGAAGGGGGGATTACTCTATGGATACACAATATTCACACACCCCAGTAGGAATTGAATCCACCAGCTCTGGCATAAACAGCACAACTCCAGCCCACTCACACTACTGGAGTCAGCCCTTCAGGAAGCGTGCAAGGAGCAGACCTTTAGAGTTGTTAGGGACCAGCCACTAGAGAGAGCTATGACCCCAGACACTATGCCCATGTATTACACTAGTATCCTGTTCTCCATCTTGAATCAAGTGGCCTGGCTGCTAGGATGAAGACAGAACTTTGGCTGTTGAATTCTGTGATCTCTACAAGGCAAGATTTCCAGAAGTGACTAGCAATTTTAAGGTGTCTCAGTTTGTAGGTTCTCACTGTGGGATGCCTGACAGGGGACCTGATTTTCTGAGGCCAGGTGTGGGGGGGTGGAGCAACCCCGCACCAGCGAAAGCGCCTGCGTCCGTGCCGCAGGGAAGGCGGCGGGCCCGGCTCCGGAGACGCCAGATGGGGAAGGAGGAGGAGCCGCGCAGGGAGCATGGACCCTGCAAGCCATCCTGGGCCCGGCACAGGAGGATGACGTCACACCCTCTGGGCGTGTGACGTCAGCCGGGCGCCGAGAAAATCCCGTAGGGGAGGGGTTAAGGCCGAGGAGGGAGTGAACATCACCTGAGGGAGCCCATGTCGGGTCATAAAAGAAGGACGGCTGGGCAGAAGGGGAGGATGAGGAGCAGGAGCAGCGGTGTGGGGAGAGGGAGACACAAGAGGAGGAGGTTCGGGGGAACCCAAGAGCAGGGGGCGCAACGAGCGCGCTAGATACCCGAGACCTGAGTCTGGGGGGCGGAGCTGAGCAGTGGCCCAGGGTGGGGTCATGGAACCCGCGAGCAAACGTGTTTAGGGGCAACACCCCCGTTTGCTACAGTAGGGAGTTTAGCTCCCTGTGTCAGGGCCCTGGGCCAGGGCCTGGGAGAGTGCGTGGGCCCGGGCCTCCCTCTCCGCCATCCGAAGGCGACCCACAGGGCCCAGTCACGGCGATCGGCTGGACCCGGGGTGATCTGCCAGCATTTTGGCTCTGGACTATGCGGGAATTGGGTGTGGGGAAATGTATAACTAAATAAAGGGTGTAATTTGCATAAATTACGAGTACGGACCCGTGACACCAGGTACTCAATACTTTCTGGAAATCAGACCCCTTTGGTGTATGGCAAGCTGAGAATCCAAAGCCTGAGGCATCTGAAAATCACTAGCCCCTTCTGGAAAATCTAGACCATAGACCCCATTTGTGTGTGGAAGATTTGGGCTCCTCATTTGGGCCACTGGCACTGCACTTCGTCTCGTCCAAAAAAGTCCTGTTTCCTGGCACCTCTCTCTGCCCCCGTCTTGATCAACAGTTCACCCAGCAGGCAAAATAATGCGACAGTTAAGCAAAGTGGCACTTCTCTCAGTTCTCCACCCGTATCTTGTCTCCGCAGAGCTTAGCAGCTAGTAATATTATTTTAAGGCGTTCAAACCAAGTGCATAGAAAGCAGTGGGAATCTCCATAGGATAGTGATTTAACCCCCGCCAGCAATGCGTTCCCTGCATCAGCAGCGAGACCTTTCACTTAGCCAGGATTCAGGGCCAAGCTCCTGCCCCTGGTAACACTGACTTCAAAGGAAATGAGAGGAGATTCTGTCCTCTATGAGCCCTGCAGCTCCGTTAGAAATGAGGGCTTGTTGGTTATAGTCAGTCAGAGCTTGTGTTCAGTGGCACCTTTAGAAGACCAGCCCATGAAATGAGCCTGAGCCTCCGCCTCCAGCAGCTGGACCGCAGCCCCCAGAAGAGCCTTCGTCATCCTTGTCCCTGTCAAAATCTCTCCACCATAGAGGGGATTTGGGCAAGGTTGAAATGTAGGCTGCTCTGTTCCTTGCTTCCTTTTCTTGCTCCTGGGAGAAAGGGGGGGAAAACAAACAAACCTGTTCATCTGCAGTCGGTGATTCTGAGGAATGCCTGTGACAACGCTGCTCTCCAGTTCAACGGAGGGCAGGCAGCAGGGAAACAAATGCCCTCCCTGATCATGCAAGGCACCAAGGTCTTGAACATTTGTTTAAGGTCAGCAGGAGCTGAGGATGCTCAGTATCTGGCAGCCTTGGGCCCTAGCAACCTGACTGACTACTTTAGAAGCCTGGAAAAGGTTTGTCATCAGGACCGTCCTTAGGCATATGCAGCATATGCAGCTGTGCAGGGCACCCACTCATTTGGGGCAGCAAATTTTGGCCACCCCTATGCAGCCGCACGGGCTGGTGTGCCTACAGCTGGTCCTAACTGCTGTCCACTGGTCCCTCTCTGGCCCAGCCCCTCCCACCTTGCTTCTTTCTTGACCCCCAGCAGCAGGGCTGCCTTCTCCCTGCCCACTCTCCATTCCCCCACCCAAATGCTCCTATTGACCAGCTGGCGACTGAGCTGAGGGGTCTCTCTTGCCACACTGATCTAGAGATAAGGACTCACACACCCCTCAGCCATCACCTGGCCTCTGTACAGGCAGTCTCAGCAGAGGGGCCTAGGAAGAAGGATAACTGACCCCACCCTAGTGCAGAGAGGGCCGGCATGTATCTCTGCCCACCACTCAACCTTTCAGAGGAGCATTCCACCCAAGTGAGCCTGGGGACTGAGCTCCCCTCCCATCCTTAGCTTCCATCAGGAGGGATCAACCCTGAAGCATTATTAAGGCAGGATGGGAGGAAATTTTATGCTGCCACTACCCCTGCTGTAGACCCTGTGTGCACGAGGGAGACATTCTGCCTGAAGCGGTGTCACTGCAGTGCCTCATCTGAGGACTAAGGCCATTCAAAGACCTAAACAAAACAAGGATGTAAAATCTCATTTAACCGATTAAAGGGGCAGAATGGGAGAACTATTCCAGCCCGGCTACCCTTAGCCCTGCCTCTTCTGCCTGAGGACCTATCCCATCTGGGAGCATGGAGCCAGAACCCCTCACATACCTGGCCCTGGGGCCCCACAGTGGCGGTCAACCCTGCTGGCAGGCAGTGTCTCCCTCTGTGCACCACCTGGTGCAGTGGCCCTGATCTCCATTGGAGCTACTGTTATACAAAGATTAATGACACTTTATCCATTTGGATTTAAAAGGGAGATGAAATTCAGCTTTGGAGAGCTAGACCTGCTCCCACGGAAGCCAAGAAAAAAGCTGACACTGATTTCAGTGGAAGCACAATCAGCCCCCTAAAAATGTGGTGCTGAAGGTAAATGGAGTTACCTGCAAATACAGGATGTTATCTTTGGAAATGGCTTCCATCAAGTCTTTACTGGGAGAAGGCTCGCCGTGCAGCCGGACCGCCTCGGAACTAGCCTTGTGCACAGCACAGCTCTGCTTGCCTGGCCGTTGCCTGTAGAAGAGCACATAGGCAGTGTCTTTGGGGAAGAAAGACGTCACATTGCTGACTGATTCGAAGGAGGAAAAGGACACCCTGGTGTCGTTGAAGAGGTACCACTGGATTTCAAAGTCCAATTGCTTGTCTGAGGCACTTTCCTGTGCCCCATCACTTGGCTGGCTTCTGGCACTAGTGCTGGCACACTCTCTGGCATAGCAATAGTAGTGGCCACTCTCTGAGGAGACACCGGAATGGACCACCACACTACAGAGATCATACACCATGGACACAAATCCACTGCATGAGGCGGCCCTGTCTTTCCTGTTCTGGCAAACTTCACCTGATTCCTCCGAAGCAACCAGGACTGGCAACTTCAGCACCAGTGGAATTGAGACATTATCCAGGATCTTCTTCCTCCTCATGGTCCTCAGGTCGAAGGAGAACCTAAGAAGGGTTAGGATGAGGTAGTGCGGCCCCTCTGTCAGCTCAGCCACTTTCTCCGCATCTTGCAGGGAAGCGCACTTCTCACAGTGATATTTATTCTCGGACGTCAGCACCTCTGGTGATAAGAAATAGTTGATCAAATCTGGAACAGATCTGGAGGAGTCGGAGCCACAGGTCTGCTCTCCAAAAGCCAGCAGCGGGTCTTTCACTGCCTCTGCATGGATGGGATCTCTGTTGGGTGTCAAGCTGAAAGGAGTCTCTTCTCCCTCTGGTTTCTGGAACCCTACTGTTTCTACTGGCAAGAGATGGATGGGATGTTCTCCAGACACAGGATGCTTCCTTTGCCTCCTTGGAGATTCTACTACCTGATTCTGTGGCTGTATGGATGGCTCAATTATCTGTGGACCAATTTCTTCCACTGGTAAAACTGTTGCATGGCTCTGCCTATGCATGTGTCTGTTGGATGGGGGGAAAGCCAAGGACAGGTCTGTGAAGGCTTCTTCTCGGGAGGAGACATTCAGGCACTTCAGGCAGCGGATTTTTGTCGTCATCTTACCCCCAAACATTTTCTCAATTAATGTCTTGTTTAAGTAGTGGTGCTCCTCAGCCTGAGACATCAAGTTGGACTCTTTGAGCTTTTGATAAATTCTTTTTCCAGTTTTCTCTTCTTCGTGTAGCCTTTGGCAGGGGGGAAAAAGCCTGCATTAGAAATCACTCAACAGACCAGTAACTAGGGATGTAACCAGGAAGTATAACCCTTACCGGGTGATGCTTATTGGTAACCAGTTAACTGGCATCCCAGCCAGGCTGGAGCAGCTCCCCACCCACAATGCAGTGCGGCAGGCCTGGCCCAGCCTGCTCAGCCCCCCACCTGCAGCGTGGTGCGGTGAGCCCAGCCCAGTCTGAGCAGCCCCCGCACACAGCAGACTCGGCCCAGCCTGGTCAGAGCAGCCTGCAACACAGTGGGCCTGGCTGGGCTGGAGCAGTCCCTGCCGTAGGATCCCAGTTAAGCAGTTAACTGGTTAAACATAACATTTAACTGATTAAATGGGATTTTACATCCCTAACAGTAACCTCCACTGTGTGGTCCCTTGTCCATATACTGCCTTTCACTACTTATTTTTTAAACACACAGACCTCTAGGAGGTTCTTTCAATTCCTCAACTTTCAGCCAAAGACTATCCCTCTGTGGAGGCTCAGCACAGCTATGGCTCTCTCATAGCTCAGCACAGCCAGGGCTATCTCATGGCTCAGCACGGCCGTTGGATCCCTACGTTGAAAAACTTGGCAGCTTCCTCTCATGTGAGCATGGAGGAGTCTGCCTGCTCTGGTTCTTCTGCCTGAAGGGAGAGGGGAGAGAGGATTTGGTGTGATGTGCCACACCCCTCATTTCTGCCAGAGCTCCTTGGAACGGCCACCTGAGAGGATCTGTGGCTGTTGAAATACAGAAAGGCACAGATAGAATCTTTAAACAAATGTCAACATTTCAAATGGGGGTGACTTTTTTTTTTAATGTGTGTCATTCAAAAATAGTCAGATTTTCCCTAACATTTGGCAAAGACAATCCCCTTTGTGGTAGTTTTCAGACCAGACTGATTTTTCCAAGGAGAGCCTGAAGTAGGGCTTTATAATTGAACCTGTGACTAGAACTCTTGTCTTATAGGCTGTGCCTAGACTACACCCCTTTGTTGACAGAGAGATGTAGATTAGGCACATCGAAATTGCTAATGAAGCAGGGATTTAAATATCCCACACTTCATTAGCATAAACATGTCCGCCGCTTTTTTCCAACATGGAGCTTTTTCGAAAAAAACGGCAGTCTAGACGGGGATCTGTCAAAAAATAAACCCTTTTTTGACAGATCCTGTTAACCTCATTTTTTGAGGAATACACGATCTGTTAAAAATGATTTATTTTTCGACAGATCCCCATCTAGACTGCCGGGGGTTTTTTCGAAAAAGCTTCGTGTCGAAAAAAAAGCGGTAGACATGTTTATGCTAATGAAGCGTGGAATATTTAAATCCATGCCTCATTAGCAATTTCGACGTGTCTAATCTACATCTCTCTGTCGACAGAGAGGTACAGTCTAGACACAGCCATAGTGTTCCAGCAAATGAACTAAAAAAAACCCTTGGGCCCTAACTAACATTATTAGCTTCCTAACCCCCTTGGTGGCTCAGGCATTCTAGGATGACCTTCCTCCCTCAGGTCTACATCATCAGTATGTCCTTTTCATATGTGTTCATTTTTTTTAATTGTATCCTTTGGTATATATGGTTGTGACTATTTTCTTCCACTATTTGATCTGAGAAAGTGGGTCTGGCCCACGAAAGCTCATCATCTAATAAACCATCTTGTTAGTCTTTAAAGTGCTACATAGTCCTGCATTTTGCTTCATCACCAGTATGTTACTCATCTATGAGTAAATCCAGTGGTTAGAAAGCCTGGGTAATGAACACTGAAATTACTTGTGCAAAATCATGAAGGAAAGCCTTCCAACTTTTTCTCTTGGGAACAAGCCCACTTTGGCAGGGGATAAACACCATGAGCCAGATGAACAGATGTTTGCATTTCAGTTATAATTTATTATGCTGTGCTTAGGAGGCCCTGTCATGGACCAGGACTTCATTGTGCTTGGCCATGTATAAGAACAGAACAAAGAGACTGGCTCCTGCCCCAGAGAGCTTACCTTCTAAAGTGTAGAAGCTGCCACTTACCGATCCAGCAGGTATTTCAGGTATTCGGAACAATCCTGCTGAGCTCCCGGGCTAAACCAAGGAGGCCAGGATGCAGAGAGGAAGCTTTCCGGTGAGATCGCAGGTCGCTGGCAGCAAGAGAATGAGAGGAAGAGAAGTGTGTAAGGCAAGATCTCACTCCCATTTGGCATCAGTGGCAAATCATTCCATTCACTTCCATGAAAATGGGATCAGGCCCTGGCAGACACATTCAGTCAGAGAGCACTGTTGGAAGGCAGCATAGCACTCATCAGCGAACGTCAGCGTTAGAGGCACCTGTGCCTTGTCCCTTTAAGGATGGAAGGTCAGTTGAGAGGGACAAAGCAGGCAGCTCTGGTGGCAGCAGAGCAGTGCGTGCTCTGAAAGGACTGCGCAGGAAAGGAACTGCTGCAAAGTGTGCATTTGTTTTCTTACAAAGTGTGAGTGTAATAAAACTCCAGTTTAAAAACTGCCCCTGGAGTGTAACATTAGCAGGACTATCACTTAGGACTACACTGCACCATTATTTCAAGATAAAAATATGAGCATATACGTAGTCATTCCATTATTTTGAAATAATTTCAAAATAACGGACGACTTATTCTGAAATCTGTAAGCCTCATTCTATGAAGAATAATGCCTATTCCGAAATAGCTATTTCAAAATAAGGCGTGTGTAGATGCTTCACTGCTGCTGTTTCGAAATAGCCCCTCACCAGGGCCATTCTAAGTTATTCCTTCCCCTTGCCTCTAAGGGCTTTAAATCAAAGTAGCTTGTCTACATTAGGGAAGCCTCCCTTGTACTAATTTTGAGACTTCCCTGCAGGGTAGACGTGCTATTTCAAAATAAGCTATTTTGGAATAACTATATTTCGGAATAGCGTGCAGTGTAGACATACCCTGAGGCTACGTCTACACTGTACAGTTATTTTGGAATAAGCTATTCCGGAATAGTTATTCCAAAATAGAACATCTACACTGCAGGGAAGCCTCAAAATTAGTCCGAGGCAGACTTCTCTAATGTAGACGTGCTATCTCGATTTAGAGACCTGGGAAGAAGAACTTAGAATGGCCCTAGTGAAGGGCTATTTCAAAATTGCAGAAGAGGAGCATCTACACACGCCTTATTTTGACATAGCTATTTCAGAATAGGCATTATTCCTCATAGAATGAGGTTTACAGATTTTAGAATAAGCCATCCATTATTTCAAAATTATTTCAAAATAATGGAATAGCTGTGTAGATGCTTGCATTGTTATTTCGCAATAACACTAGTTATCGTGAAATAACAGTGCAGTGTAGATGTGCCCCTTCAGAAGTTCTTTGCTCTTGAGGAACTCGGCGTACATATATGGAGCTCCACTTTCACAATTTCTATATCCTTTTATTTCTTCAAGATGTGGTCATTTGAAAGCAACCCCTCAATGTGAGCACTGCTGCATGATACTGAAGAGATGTAAAAGTCTCTATGTTCTTGATGTTGCCCTGTGCTATGGTGAAATTTTTCACACAACAGGCAATCCTTTTCATGCAAGAGAAGAGATTAGTTTTTTCTACCATGCCAAATTCTCCATTCCTTCATTCTACAAGCACAGATTCAGAAAAATTCTTCAAAGCTGATGGGTTTTTCAAGAGTTGACATGGATACTTTGCTATGAAATCATAACTGTCATGAAGATACTTCTTTGCTCTTTCATAAAGGTCACAAAGCCCTATTTACACCTTTAAGGAATATCTTGAGTAAATTCCTGGAACTTAGAAATCATTTGTACCCTAATCCTTCTCTCCAGTTTCACGTTCAGTCCCTTCATCAATTCATGCACTGAAAGAACAGTAAGGCTTTGTCTACACGCAAATTGCGTATCTTATTTCAAATGTATTTCGAAATAGCTTATTTTGAAATTTGGTGCATCTACACACTGCCAAATTTCCCAATAATGCACTATTTCAAGACATCCCTTAACCCTCGTGGAATGAGGGTTACAAGGATGCCAAAATAGCGCGCCTGTTATTTAAAAAAATATTTCGAAATAACAGGTGGCTTGTTAAGATGCAGGGTAGCTATCCCAAAATAGCCGCGCAGTGTAGACATACCTGGGGAGAGAGCTCTCCCAGCACTCTAGATAAACCACCTCTATAAGTAGAGTAGCTAACAGCTTACAAGTCCTGTCCACACTGATGCTTTACTGCACTGTAATATGCTGCACTTGGCAAAAGAGAGCGTCATCTGGTAACAAAATGTCTCAATAGACTCCATTTTTCCATTTGCTAGTCACAAATCTCCTTTTGTTGTTCTATTCTAGT